GAAGGAATCTCAAAATATTAGGAAGGATAAAGATACATGGTAAACAAAACTGTGGGTATATGTAATAGACTTCCCTTTGCCTCATGAATTTTCTAAATTTTGTTTGGTGGTTGAAGTAAAAATTTTAACCCTGATGTGGTTCTGAATGGATAGAGAAAATATTTTAGGTAATTATAAATGAGCAAGGGCAAAGGGATATAAAAGGAGGTAAAGTTTCTCACGTCACTCAAACTTGTAACAAAATAAATTTAGTAGACCATGATAAGTTACATAAATATAATAACTAGAACAACTACTAAGAAAGCTATACAAGGGGATACATTCAAAACATAAAGATAAAATGGAATCCTAAAATGTTTAACCAACAGGAAGGCAAGAAAAATAAAACAGAAAAACTAAAAACAGAGAAGAAGCAGAACAAAAGTGACTTAATGTATCAATAATCATAATAAATATAAATAGTCTGAATACATGAATTAAAAAACAGATTTACAGTGTAGATTTTAAAAATGATCTAACACTTACTGATGGTCCCCAGCTTAAAATGGTTGAACTTGGATGGTTTTTCAACTTAACGGTGGGTTGTAAGTCAAAGTGCTCCTTATGACTTAATGTGGTCATGGTTTTACTGTATGCATATCACTTTTTACCATTGTAAAGTTGAAAAGTTGTAACTTGAACCATCATAAGTCAGGGTCCATATGCTGTGTTGCCAGTATAAAATGCATTTTTTACTTTTCATGAGTTTATTGTAATGTAATTGCATCATAAGTCAAGAACTGTATGTTGTCTGTAAGAAACTCCAAGTATAATAGTATAGGCAGTATAACAGTATAGGATATAAAAAGATATATCATAGAATCATTAATTAAAAATAGGAGTGGCAGTATTATTATCAGGTAGAGCAGACTTCAGGGCAAAGGAAATAGCAAAGAAAAATAGCAGATTTACATATAGAAAGATTTTATACTGATAAAAGAGGTCAACCCAGCAAGAAGACACAGGAATGCTAAACGTATGTACACTAGAGGTGCAGAATGTGTGAAACCAAAATTGATATAACTAAAAGGAGAAATAGATAAATCTATAATTTTAGTTGGTGACCTCATACCCCTCTCTCAACAATTGTTAGAACAATTAAAAAATCAGCAAGGATAAATAACCCAATAACACAATCAACCAACAGAACCTAAATAACATTTATAAAACATGCCACCCAAGGAGAACACCTGGACATATTCTTTTGAAGTATTCACTGAATATATGTAAGTGCTCACTGAATGTATATAAGATAGACAATATCTTGGGCTATAATGTAAATCTCAATGAACTTTTACAACTTGAAAATGTAACGAGTGAGTTCTCTGACCACAGTAGAATCAAACTAGAAATTAATAACAGAAAATAACAGGGAAATCTTCAAACACTTGGAAATGAAATGACATACTTCAAAAAATGTATGGGTCAAGGTGGAAATTTTGATGAAAGCATTTTAATGAGATGAGATTTCAAAAAATACATTGCATGAAAATGAAAATGCAGCATATCAAAAATTTTAGGACACAGCTAAAGCAGTGCCAAGAAAAATTTGTAGCACTAAATTCATGCATTAGAAATGAGGGAACAAGTCAGTAATGTATCCTCCCACCTCTACCTCCAGAACCTGGAAAAAGAGTATTGGAATAAAATAAAGCAAGCAGAAGGAAGGAAATAATAAACATAGCAGAAATTGAAAACAAAAATAATAGAGAAAATCAGTGAAACAAAGAACTGGTTCTTTGAAAAGATAATAAAATTGGCCAACTTCTAGCAAGACTGACAAAAAAGATGGAACATACAAATTGTTCTTATCTCAGGAATGAAATAAAAATATCATTGATGATGACCTTGCAGACATTAGAAAGGAAATAAGATAATCCTTTGAACAACTCTACCCTGATGAATTTGACAATGCAGATGAAATGGATCAATTTCTTAAAAGGCACAAACTACCACAGCTTATTTAATGAGAAATTGGCAGTTTCTATAGACCTGTAACTGTTAGGGAAATTGAATTCGTAATTTTAAAATTCCTAAAATGAATTGTTAACTAGAGAATTTTACCAGACGTTTAAAGAAGAATTCATACCAATTCTACATAGTGTCTTCCCAAAAAATGGAAGAGGATTATTACCAATAGGGGAAGCTTGGTTAAGGATACCCAGGATCCCTCTATATTAATCCTTATAAGAATTCCTTTTGAACCTACCATTATCTGAAAAAGTTGAATTTTAAAAACAAGTAACTGAAGAAAGAAATCTTATACAGAGGAACAAAGAGTGACAATAGATTTATTTTTACAAGTAATACAGCCAGAAGACAGTAGAACAATATCTTTATTGAAAGAAAAAATAAACCTAGGCAGTTTGATTCTCTTACCCATATCCCTATGCTGTATTGTAAAGGTAATAAAAACAAAGATGGAGTAATTAGATAACACTACCATTCCCTATTTTGTGCCTCGGAGAATTGAAGTGCTGTCATTTTTTTGAAAAGGAAATCATCACTATTCCTAGTTCCTAATCGGTTTCTGTTTAGTTTCCTTTACTTCAACAACTTTTTAAAAAGTAAAATTAGTTAACACATTGTCTTATCTGTCAAGTAAGTTTGTATTTTAGAGGTAACTGCAATACAGGAAGATTTAGATAAAGTTCATAAAAGTGAAATGTAAACAAAGCCCTTTGGAAATGCAGAGGAAAGACTGAGCACACAAAAAATTGAGGACATCAAGGAAGATGACGTGAGTCTGACTGAGAATGGTGGAAAAGGAAAGAGCTGAGGCTGTATCCAAGATCTGTGTCAAATGTCTGGGACACGAGTGGTGTTACGGCAGTGACTGAATGTAATAAGCTCCGCATCAGCAGAGGTTTTGCGTTTATTTGCTTATCTGCTGGATTGTATGCTTACTACCTAAAACAGTATTGGGGAGTTAGTAAGTACTCGGTAAATATTTGTTGCATGGATAAATAATGAATAGCAAAATTAGAAGGCAGTTTTGGCTAGAATGATTCGATAGGTCTGATTTAGGAGTTATAAACATGGAATCTAATTCTCAGCTATCAGCTAGCTGTCATCCAGTCTCATGGCTTCAACTATCACTTTAGCTATCACACAGATGCCTCTGAAAACATGTGAAAAAAAACCCAATAATATAGGAAATATGCAGGTCAAGAACATTAGCTGTGTGAGCCCATGTGTAAAATGGGGATTATGAGAGAAATTATTGTTAATATTGATTTTACATGCAGAGCATTTAGCTCAGTATTTGATCCAGAGTAAGTACTCAGTGAAGGGCCCCATTGTTTGAACCTGAGTTACACATTGACTACTGACCTAGATGAGCCATCATACTTCTAATATAGCACATTAAAACCATATTTAAGTTACCTTATATAAAAGCTAAATAGTATCTTAAAGATCAATTAGCCCAAGTTCTTCATTTAAACTGAGGACAGAATGAAATATGACTTGTACATCATAAAGCTAGTTGAAGGAAAAAAAAAATGCAGTGGTTAAAAAGGTAATCAGGGACCAAACTAGGAGGTAATAGTCATTTATAAAGCATGGGAAGAAAAATAGGAGAGAAACACTAATTAGCTGAGCTTTTCAGGGCTTAACTCTAAATGCTGCAGCTTCCTTCAAGGATAAATTTTATTCTCTGGAAAATAATATTTGTCTGCTGGATAGGTCTACCTATATTTCTCATTGGCAATTTAAATTCAGCATGTCCAAAACCAAATTGGAATCACTATGTGTTAAAATTTAAAAAGTTGTTAAGAGTGTATCTAATTCAGTTTCCCATTTTATGGGTGTGGAGAACAAATCCGGCCCTGGGCTGGAGGTCTTACACTTTTTAGATTCATTGATAGTGCTGTGATCAAAAAGTCGTTTCTTGGACCACTTTTGCCTAGGTTGCAGAGCATTTCTTTAGGTTTTTTTGAGGGGGGCTTACAGTGAGCCTTTCAGAAAGTTCATCCTGGCTACAAACAACCCCTGGTCTTGTTTTGAGCAGTGGTTTTCAACTTCCTTTTAAAAAACAAAAAACCTAGTTGAATCTTTTTCTTAAGTTGAATCATATGAAGAAACCCCCCAAAAGAGACTAAAAATAAAAGCCACTGAATTTGGTGGTGATGGTGTTACGGGATAGATAGTTGGGGAGATCACGAAAGGGTAAGAATGAGTTCTACCCTGATTGCTTGCCCCTGGTCCCCAGAGGTGAGGAGCATCTGAAATCCTTCAGAGGTTAGGAAACAATTTGAAACCCACTGATTTGGAGGCCTACAAAGTCTAGCAGTGATAGTTGGCATGAATGACAAGACCATTGGTGTCTCTTCTCTACAAGTTCCCCAGTGACTTTAACACCTGCCCTGGAGTAATGATTTTTCAATTCTTCTTGAATATAAGAACTAAGAACTAGGCCATCATTACAATTAGGACTTTAATAAACTCTCAGCTGTCATTTAAAAACTCTCATCAATCACATTTGCTTTTATGTATACAGACAGGCAGTTTTTGTGTGAAATAAATTGCCCTGACATAGATAATTTTATTAGTATAGACATAGCTCAAGAATTAGTCATGTGAGGAGAAAGCTTAGCTGTAGTCAGAGTTTTGGTCTTGCATGAACCCCTATAATGTTTTCATGAATTTTAAAATACTTGATGTGTTTTTAATAATTATTTTTATAGCATTCTGATTTTAAATTTTGGCCAGCAACTGATTAAACCCTGTGCTAGACACCACATGAAGATGGGTGAAAACAGGACACAGTCCTTGCCCTTACATTTGAGTCATACTAAGAACAGAAAGAAGGTGATAGTTAAAAATTTTTCCTTTGTACTTTGTTTCAGCACCTGAGCTTAGATTTTGTGCAATTTTTAATTTTACTGACTTGTAAAGCATGTTCATAACTGAAAATTTAATAATTTAACCTTGTATGCTTTCTTTCAAATTATTATTAGATTGCAAGACTGGAGGAAGATAAAGAAGAACTGCGTAACCAGCTGCTTAATGTTGATCTCACAAGAGACAGCAAAAGAGTGGAGCAACTTACTCGAGAAAAAGTCTGTTTGTGTCAAAAATTAAAAGGTTTAGAGGCTGAAGTAGCAGAATTAAGGGCTGAAAAGGAGAATTCTGGCACTCAGGTAGAAAATGTCCAAAGAATACAGGTGCGGCAGTTGGCTGAGATGCAGGCTACAGTCAGGTCCCTGGAGGTAAGATTCTAATTACTTCCCAGTAGAGTATGGCATACTTTTTTAAAGTGCAGTTGACAAGCCTCTGATTTTTAGAGCATAAATGTATGCGTTTCAAGCTAATGCTGGCACATTGGTGTAATCCCAAGAGTGAGTATTTTCGTAAAGAAGAAAGCTATTGATTCATAAGCAATGAATATGCTACCACATTTACAAAGGGATATTTATTATTTCAGAGTCAAATCACATATCTGAAATGCCGTAACTCGTATAATGCCACATAGTAGAATATGCAAAATAAAAGTATATGTATTTGGTTTCTGAGACTAAAGTCATCTCAAACCAGAAAGAATAATTTCTTCCAAGATAGCACATTCCTTACACCAGGATTTGAGATCTTAAAATCATAAATCCTGTTTGAACAGAAATACCATACTGATATATCTCATGACAAATTCTTGTGAGAGTAGTAAAATTCAGCTTTAAAACTATACATGCCTTTACAGAATTATTTCCCTGGGTTCATTAGAGAAAGATAAGTGTTGGCAGACCAGACTGGTACTCCTAGAGGTATAGCCTTTTGATAATTCTTGGTTTCCATTTTATTCAGATATACTTATTCTTGTTCTTAGTGCCTAACTTGTAGCAAACATACGTGTTTAATTGTTTTTATTTATTTTGTGCAGTTCAGACTGTTTGTTTTTCCCTTTGGGATAGTTATGAAATAATTTGGGTTGAGGGGACATTAGCGGGCATTTAATTTGTAGTTAAAATGAATATCCAAGTCCAAGTTGTTGATTTTTTTCCCCCTGCCAATGGTACAGGAGTACATTGGTATGTTTTGAAGAGTATAAACTACTTTTAAATTTTTTACATGATGCTTCTGTCAGTATTTACTGGTTTTCTGAATTAGAAGATGTTAGTATCATTGGATCTTAAACATGAAGCAGTTCAGAGTGAGATTGTTTATGTTGCTATGCTTCTGTCCTTAATGTATTCTACACAGTGACAGAATAAGTGAGATGATTGCAGTTGAATATAGTATACAGTCCTGATGTGAAACTTCCCATTGAGGTCCTTTAGAGTGAATATTTTCAGGGCAAGTTGAATGATGACAGAAAATTTATTTGTGACATTTTCGGAAGAGCCTATATTTAATTTTATTATTTGTCAGATGAAATGAAAATAAGCACATGACAGCAAGCATTTCTTTCTTCTTTAACTTTCTTGGCTATAATTGTGCCCAGAGAGTATTATTTCATATATGAAGAAAATAGTTTTTTCTCCTAATTATTTGTCGAATATAGTTCTTATCATATTTAAGATAAATGTTCCCAAACTTAAGGTGGTTTAAGATTTTTTGAGTATATGATGGTGTGAAAGCCATATATGTATTTATGTACTTTGAATTTTGATCTTTTCCTGGGTTATTGATAGGTGGTATGATACTCTCAATGCTGGGCAGCTGCACTGAGCCACAGTTCCTTCCCAGTCAGTCACGTGATCTTGAGGGTAAATAACCTCTTTACAGAGTACTGTGTCGCCAGATGATTTTTCCCAACTGTAGGCTAATCCACATGTTTTGAGGATGCTTAAGGTAGGCTCATCTAAATTACTGTGTTCAGTAGGTTAGGTTGTATTAATTGTATTTTGGACTTAGATATTTTCAATCTGTGATGGGTTTATCAGGGTATAACCCCAGCATAAGTCGAGGAGCATCTATATATAGGAAATGAGATGTTATAAAACTGAAGCTTATCCTTTAAATGCCAAAATGTTTTCATTTTAATTATGTTGAGGCTGGGTGTGGTGGTTCACGCCTGTAATCCTAGCACTTTGGGAGGCTAAGGTGGATGGATCACCTGAGCTCAGGAGTTTGAGATGAGCCTAGACAATATGGTGAAACCCTGTCTTTACAAAAAATACAAAAATTAGCCAGGTGCCATGGTGTGTGCCTGAAGTCCCAGCTATTTGGGAAGCTGAGGAAGGAGAATTGCATGAGCCCAAGAGGCAGAGGTTGCAGTAAGCCAAGATTGTGCCATTGTCCTCTAGCCTGGGAGACAGAGTGAGACCATGCCAAAAAAAAAAAAAAAGGACTTCTGGGCAGGATGGCCAAATAGGATCAGCTCCGGTCTGTAGCTCCCCAGTGAGATAGACACAGAAGGCGAGTGGTTTCTGCATTTCCAACTGAGGTATCTGGTTCATCTCATTGGGACTGGTTGGACAGTGAGTACAGCCCACAGAGGGTGAGCTGAAGTGGGGTAGAGTGTTGCCTCACCCAGGAAGTGCTAGAGGTTGAGGGATTCAACCCCCCCCAGCCAAGGGAAGCCCTGAGACACAGTACTGGGTGGAAGGGTACATTCTGGCTCAGATACTGCACTTTCCCCGCAGTCTTCCTAACCATAGACCGGGAGATTCCCTCTGGTGCATACGCCACTAGGAGCTTGGGATTCAAGCACAAAACTGGGCAGCCGTTTGGATAAACAGCTAGCAGCAGGAGAGTGTTTTGTTCATACCCCAGCGACACCTGGAATGCCAGCAAGACAGAACCATTTACTACCCTGGAAAGAGGGCTGAAGGCAGTAAGCCAAATGGTCTGGCTTGGCAAGTCCCACCCCCACGGAACCCAGCTAGCTAAATTACACTGGCTTGAAACTGTCACTGCCAGCACAACAGTCTAAGGTCAACCTGGATCACTGGAGCTTGGTGAGGGAAGGGACATCCATCATTGCCTAGGCTTGAGTAGGCAGTTTATTCTCACAGTGTAAACAAAGCTGTCGGGAAGTTTGGGCTGGGTGGAGCCCATCTCAGCTCAGCAAGACTTCTGAGGCCAGATTCCCTCTTTAAAATCCTCCTCTGGGCAGGGCATCTCTGAAAAAAAGGCAGCAGCCCTACTCAGGGACTTATTGATAGAACGTCCATCTCCCTGCAACAAAGTACCAAGGGAAAGGGGTGGCTGTGGGCATAGCTTCAGCCGACTTAAACATCCCTGCATGACAGCTCTGAAGAGAGCAGCAGATCTCCCATCATAGTGTTTGAGCTCTGATAAGGGACAGACTGCCTCCTCAAGTGGGTCCCTGACTCCAGTGCCTCCTGATTGGGAAACGCCTCCCAGCAGGGGTCAATGTCATACAGGAGAGCTCCGGCTGGCATCTGGCAGGTGCTCCTCTGGGATGAAGCTTCCAGAGGAAGGAACAGGCAGCAGTCTTTGCTGTTCTGCAGCCTCCGCTGGTGATACCCAGGCAAACAGGGTCTGGAGTGCACCTCCAGAAAACTCCAGCAGACCTGCAGCAGTGGGGCCAGACTGTTAGAAGGAAAACTAACAAACAGAAAGGAACAGTTGACAAGAAGGATGTCTACCCAGATACCCCATCCAAAGGTCACCAACATCCAAAACTGTAGGTAGATAACTCCAGGAAGATGGGGAGGATAAAAAGCGCAAAAACACTGAAAATTCCAGAACCCAGAATGCTGCTGCTTTCCTTGCCAGCAATGGAACAAAACTGGACCAAGAATGAGTTTGACAAATTGACAGAAGTAGGTTTCAGAAGGTGGATAATAACAAACTCCACCGAGCTAAAGGAACATGTTATAACCCAATACAAGGAAAGTAAAATCCTTGAAAAAAGGTTAGACAAATTGCTAAATAGAATAACCAATGTAGAGAAGACATAAATGACCTGATGGAGCTGAAAAACACAGCACGACAACTTCGTGAAGCATACACAAGAATCAATAGCTGAATCAATCAAGCAGAAGAAAGGATATCAGAGATTGAAGATCAACTCAATGAAATAAAACGAGAAGGCAAGATTAGAGAAAAAAGAGTGAAAAGAAATGAACAAAGCCTCCAAGAAACATGGGACAATGTGAAAAGACCAAACCTGTGTTCGATTGGTGTACCTGAAAGTGATGGGGAGAATAGAACCAAGTTGGAAAACTCTATTCAGGAAATTATCCAGGAGAACTTCCCTAACCTAGCAAGGCAGGCCAACCTTCAAATTCAGGAAATACAGAGAACACCACAAAGATACTACTTGAGAAGGGCAACCCCAAGACACATAATAGTCATATTTACCAAGGTTGAAATGGAGGAAAAAATGTTAAGGGCAGCCAGAGAGAAAGGCCGGGTCACCCACAAAGGGAAGCCTATCAGACTAACAGTGCAGATCTCGGCAGAAAAACTACAAGCCAGAAGAGAGTGGGGATCAATATTCAACATTCTTAAAGAAAATAATTTTCAACCCAGAATTTCATATCCAGCAAAACTAAGCTTCATAAGTGAAGGAGAAATAAAATCCTTTACAGGCAAGCAAATGCTGAGAGATTTTGTCACCACCAGGCTAGCCTTACAAGAGCTCCTGAAGGAAGGACTAAACATGGAAAGGAATAATCTCTACCAGCCACTGCAAAAGCACACCAAATTGTAAAGACCATCAACGCTATAAAGAAACTGCATCAACTAACAGGCAAAATAACCAGCTAGCATCATAACGACGGATCAAATTCACACATAACAATATTAACGTTAAATGTAAGTGAGCTAAGTGCCCCAATTAAAAGACACAAACTGGCAAATTGAATAAAGAGACAAGACCCACTGGTGTGCTGTATTCAGGAGACCCATCTCATGTGCACAGACACACTTAAGCTCAAAATAAAGGGATGGAGGAATATTTACCAAGCAAATGGAAAGCAAAAAAAAAAAAAAAAAAAAAGAAAAAAAAAAACCAGTTGCGATCTTACTCTCTGATAAAACAGACTTTAAACCAACAAAGATCAAAAGACACAAAGAAGGACATTACATAATGGTAAAGGGATCAATGCAACAAGAAGCACTAACTGTCCTAAATATGTATGCACCCAATACAAGAGCACCCATATTTATAAAACAAGTTCTTAGAGACCTGCAAAGTGACTTAGACTCCCAAACAATAATAGTTGGAGACTTTAGCACCCCACTGTCAATATTAGACAGATCAATGAGAGAGAAAATCAATAAGGATATCAGGACTTGAACTCGGCACTGAACCAAGTGGACCTAATAGACATCTACAGAAGTCTCCACTCCAAATCAACAGAATACGCATTCTTCTCAGTGCCACATCACACTTACTGTAAAACTGACCACATAATTGGAAGTAAAGCATTCCTCAGCAAATGCCAAAGAATGGAAATCTTAGTCTCTAAGACCACAGTGCAATCAAATTAGAACTCGGAATTTAAAAAACTCACTCAAAGCCGCCCAACTGCATGGTAACTGAAAAACCTGCTCCTGAATGACTGCTGGGTAAATAATGAAATGCAGGCAGAAATAAAGATGTTCTTTGAAACCATTGAGAACAAAGACAAAACGTACCAGAATCTCTGGGATACATTTAAAGCAGTGTTTGGAGGGAAATTTATAGCAGTAAATGCCCACAAGAAAAAGCAGGAAAGATCTAAAATCGACACCCTAACATCACAATTAAAAGAATTAAAGAAGCAAGAGCAGACAAATTCAAAAGCCTAGCAGAAGCCAAGAAATAAGATCAGAGCAGAACTGAAGGAGATAGAAGACACCAAAAATCCTTCAAAAAAAATCAGTGAATCCAGGAACTGGTTTTTTGAAAAGATCAACAAAATAGACTGCTAGCCAGACTAATAAGAAAAGAGAGAAGTTATCAAATAGATGCAATAAAAAATGATAAAGGGGATATCACCAGCAATCCCACAGAACTACAGACTACCATGACAGAATACTATACATACCTCTATACAATAAACTAGAAAATCTAGAAGAAATGAGATAAACAGAACCAATGATAAAAAACACATGATTATCTCAATAGATGCAGAAAAGGCCTTCATAAAGTTCAACACCTTTTCATGCTAAAAACTCTTAATAGACTAGGTATTGATGGAATGATCTCAAAATAATAAGAGCTATTTATGACAAACCCACAGCCAATATCATACTGAATGGGCAAAAGCTGGAAGCATTCCCTTTGCAAACTGGCACAAGACAAGGATGCCCTTTCTCACCACTCCTATTCAACATAGTATTGGAAGTTCTGGCCAAGGCAATCAGTCAAGAGAAAGAAATAAAGCATATTCAGTTAGGAAGAGAGGAAGTTAAATTGTCTTTGTTTGCAGAAGACATGATTGTATACTTAGAAAACCCCATTGTCTCAGCCCCAAATCTCCTTAAGCTGACAAGCAACGTCAGCAAAGTCTCAGGATACAAAATCAATGTGTAAAAATCGCAAGCATTCCTATACACTAATAACAGACTGCAGAAGATTCTGTACAGAAGAGTACAAAAGAAACAGAGAGCAAAATCATGAGCGAACTCCCATTCACAATTGCTACTAAGAGAATCAAATACCTAGGAATCCAACTTACAAGGGATGTGAAGGACCTCTTCAAGGAGAACTAGAAACCACTGCTCAAGAAAATAAGAGGGAGCTGGGCGCGGTGGCTCACGCCTGTAATCCCAGCACTTTGGGAGGCCGAGGCGGGTGAATCATGAGGTCAAGAGATCGAGACCATCCTGGTCAACATGGTGAAACCCCGTCTCTACTAAAAATACCAAAAATTAGCTGGGCATGGTGGCGCGTGCCTGTAATCCCAGCTACTCAGGAGGCTGAGGCAGGAGAATTGCCTGAACCCAGGAGGCGGAGGTTGCGGTGAGCCGAGATCACGTCATTGCACTCCAGCCTGGGTAACAAGTGAAACTCTGTCTCAAAAAAATAAAAAGAAAATAAGAGAGGACAAAAACAGATGGAAAAGCATTCCATGCTCATGGGTTAGGGAGAATCAATATTGTGAAAATGGCTGTACTGCCCAAAGCAATTTATGGATTCAATGCTGTCCCCATCAAGCTACCACTGACTTTCTTCACAGAATTGGAAAAAATTTCTTTCAATTTCATATGGAACCAAAAAAGAGCCTGCATAGCTAAGACAATCCTAAGCAAAAAGAACAAAATTGGAGGGATCATGCTACCTGACTTCAAACTACACTACAATGCTACGGTAACCAAAACAGCATGGTACTGGTACCAAAACAGATATGTAGACCAGTGGAACAGAACAGAGGCCTCAGTAATAACGCCACACATCTACAACCATTTGATCTTTGACAAACCTGACCAAAACCAATGGGGAAAGGATTCCCTACTTAATAAATGGTGTTGGGAAAACTGGCTAGCCATATGCAGAAAGCTGAAACTGGATTCATTCCTTACACCTTATACAAAAGTTAACTCAAGATGGATCAAACACTTAAACATAAGACCTGGAACCATAAAAACCCTAGAAGAAAACCTAGGCAATGCCATTCAGGGCATAGGCATGGGCAAAGATTTTGTGACTAAAACACCAAAAACATTGGCAACAAAAGCCAAAATTGACAAATGGGTTCTAATTAAACTGAAGAGCTTCTGCACAGCAAAAGAAACTATCATCAGAGTGAGCACGCAACCTACAGAATGGGAGAAAACTTTTGCAATCGGTGCATCTGACAAAGGGCTAATATCCAGAATCTACAAAAAAATTAAATTTACAAGAAAAAACAACCCCATCAAACAGTGGACAAAGGAGATGAACAGACACTTCTTAAAAGAAGACATTTATGCAGCCAACAAACATATGGAAAAAAAGCTCATCATCATTGGTCATTAGAGAAATGCAAATGAAAACCATATTGCAATACCATCTCACGCCAGTTAGAAGAGCAATCATTAAAAAGTTGGGAGACAAGAGATGCTGGCGAGGATGTGGAGAAATAGGAACATTTTTAGACTGTTGGTGGAAGTGTAAATTAGTTCAACCATTGTGAAAGACAATTGTGGCAATTCCTCAAGGAACTAGAACCAACAATACCATTTGACCCATCAATCCCATTACTGGGTATATACCCAAAGGATTATAAGTCATTCTATAAAGACGTGTGCACATGTATGTTTATTGCAACACTGTTCACAATACCAAAGACTTGGGACCAACCCAAATACCCATCAGAGGTAGACTGGATAAAGAAAATGTGGCACATGTACACCATGGAATACTATGCAGCCATAAAAAGGGGTGAGTCCATATCCTTTTCAGGGACATAGATAAAGCTGGAAACCATCATTCTCAGCAGACTAACACAAGAAGAGAAAACCAAACACTGCATCTTCTCACTCATAACAATGAGGATACATGGACACAGGGAGGCAAACATCACACACCAGGGCCTGCTGGGGGTGGAGGTTGAGGGGAGGGACAGTATTAAGAGAAATACTTGATGTAAATGATGGGTTAATGGAGTGCAGCAAACCACCATGGCACGTGTATACCAATGTAACCTGCACGTTCTGCAGATGTACACCAGAACTTAAAGTATAATGTGTGTGTGTGTGTGTGTGTGTGTGTGTATGTATAAAATGTTGAGTAGACATGTTTTTTATCAAAGCTTTTAGTTCGCCTCCCCTCATGAAAGAGTACTATTAATATTACCAACCAGAAACTTTTTTGACAGTTTACAGACTTCATTAAGAATCTTAATTATGTCATGACCTCTCAAGAGCCTCTTTGCTCATACTTTAAGAAGTCTCCAGATTAGCTGAGGATTTTGTAATCCTATCTTTCCATGTTTCTTTTAAAATATTATTCATTTTAGATATTTAATTTTTATTTCTTACTATCAAGGAGACCTCTCTTCTACTTTCTAATATGCTTCTGTTGTAGACTGGAAACTTCCAAAAATGTTTCAAATAAGTCAGTGTTAAGCGTAAATAGACATCAGATGAATAACTTATGTACTTTCATGAGAGAAGTATATAAACTTTATTTTGTTCGTGGCCATTCATATGTTGTCTAGATACCTTTGTGGCATATTTCCTTGAACACTGTCTTTCAATTTTGGATTCTACCAATTTGAGAAAATTCTTGTTACTTTGGTATATGTTAATACTGTTGAGGTTTTTAATAATTTTTATATAATTATAAATGTATTTTAAATAGTGCTTTCATTTTGATGTACTTGAACAATGAATGAATTTTAAAATATTTTGTTTGAATGAAAGGCTGAAAAACAGTCAGCTAAGCTACGGGCAGAACACTTGGAAAAAGAGCTACAATCAAGCAATGAACAAAATACCTGTTTAATTAATAAATTGCATAAAGCGGAACGAGAAATAAATACATTGTCCAGTAAAGTAAGTTTTATGCTTGTTTCATTTTTTAGAATTTTTGTTACCATGTAATGATAAATTTTATTTTTAATAATTCATTTCTTTTTACTGAAATGTTTTATTATATTCTACCTTCCAAGAAATAAATATGTTGATCAGTAGAGTATGTTATCTTAACACCTCTACTTCCTTCTTTAGAATGCTTAATACTGTACAATAACAAAGAAATTTTGTGTTTAGTTCTCTGTATTGAAATCTTGTTTAATCTTATCACTCTGCCTTCCACATATATACAGAATCTGATCAATTCTTACCACATCCACTGTGATCATTCTAGTCTAAGCCATGATTTCTCTAGGCTCCTTTTTTATGCTAGGTTGCTAACTGATTTTTCTGCTTTCTACCCATTCAGAGCTCTGTATGATTTGGATCCAGCAGCCTTTTCATAGCCATGATCACGTATTTTTCCTCTTGTTCATTTTGCTCCCCTTGGCCTTCTCACTCTTTGAGCAAACTCACTTTTTCCTCATGGTTTCTGCACTTGTATGAGCTTGGCCCAGTCTTCCCTCACATATCCACGTTACTTGCTTCCTTACCCCATAGATGTTGCCTAATCAGAGAGGCTTTCCTTCACATTGTAAAATAGCATCTTCTTCCTCTGTATCTTCCTTACCCGCTTTTTCTTCATAGCTATCAATCCTCAATACTATCCAATACAGTTATTTGGTTTTTCTTTTTTTTTTTGATCTCTCCTTTTCCTTCCCACCAACTCAGTATAAGCTCCAAGAGAACAGGGACATTGTTTTCATCACTACTGTTTTTCCAGCTTCTAGAACAGTGCTGGCACATAGTAGGTACTCAATAAATATTTCTTCCGGCGGCTCAAGCCTGTAATCCCAGCACTTTGGGAGGCTGAGGCGGGCAGATCACGAGGTCAAGAGATTGAGATCATCCTGGCCAATATGGTGAAACCCTGTCTCTACTAAAAATAGAAAAATTAGCTGGGTGTGGTGGCGTGCGCCTGTAGTCCCAGCTACTCAGGAGGCTGAGGCAGGAGAATTGTTTGAACCCGGGAGGCGGAGGTTGCAGTGAGCCGAGATCGTGCTACTGCACTCCAGCCTGGCGCCTGTCGACAGTGAGACTCTGTCAATCAATCAATCAATCAATCAATCAATTCTTCAATGAATAAATTAGTAGTAGCAGCATAATCTACATTTATATTCTCCTTAACAGACTGGATTCAAATTCTGATTTTTCCCTTAATAAAGCTCTGTGACCTTGGGCAGTTCACCATCTCTCTGAAACTTCAGTGCCTTTGTCTGTAAAATGGGACTAACACTTAACCTTATTGAGTTGTGGCAAAAATTAAATGTAGCTGATGATGAAAATGATAATTGCAGTGATTATATACTAGTGATATCCTTAAATAAGAAAATATTATAACATAAAGAATACATAATTTTTAATCCATTGACTAGTCTATATCCCACTGTCTCAATAACTGTGTGTAACCTTAGGCAAGTTACCTAATATCATTAGGACCCAATTTCCTTATATCTCTAAGAAACCTTTTAGCCTACGAAGACAGTGTAAGAACTGCTGGGAAATAATTTGATTGCCTTCTGATTAACTGTAAGTAGATTATATATTCAACAGATATACATTGAACGCTTACAATTACAGAGTATACAAAAAATAGTTACAAAACACAAATAATTAAATTTAGGGATACAGGGAGTTATCATGCTTTTCTTCTAATTCCAATATAAATTAGTTTCAATTTTGTAAAATAATATTGAGTACCTAGTATTTGCAGCACATTGTTCTTGACCTGAGTTGCCAGACTACGCTGCTGGAATAACTGGAACCACAGATGTAGCAATAGGACATCGGATATGCTGGCTTCTACTGTGGTTTCTCTCTTGGGGGTCACCAAGTCTAATACTTTTCATGCAATACATTTTACCTGAGCTCCCTGGCTCACCTGTGTGCTGACCCTGATTTTTTTTCTTTTTTCCGTATATATACTCTTCTCTATTACTCCTTCCTTTTGGAGTTAGAGCATAGGTGCTTTCTCCTACTCTACTGAAGAAAAAACAGCAGTCTGGTATAGTATTATTTATTTCTCTGTGCTTGTTTATTAACATACATTGCCAAGAGTTGCCTGTCTTTGTTAAGGCACAATTTGCATTATTTTGCATATAAATGGAGTATTAAATACTACCCTTCAACTGTAGACAAACCAAGTTTCATTTGAAGTCTTACATGTAAAGATTCCATTAGAAGGGTAAATTTTAATATTTCAAACATGACTGCCACAGTTTTCTTTGCAACTTGAAATTTTTATCAACATTTTGCAATTCTAGCAAATGGTTGTTTGCAGTGCAAAGGAACACCTGGGGTGTGTTTGTCTAAATTATTCAAATTTGTAAATGTTTGGCAGATTTTAGAACAAAGTTCTATCAGTATGAGTATCAATGACTTGGATTAAAAGGTATTCAAAGATGGCTTGAAAATGATGACCTTAAAGAGATTTCACATTCAGTGAGATAAATTTTTCTAGTTAACTAATAAGATTTTCATCTTTAGAATGCCAATAAAAGATAGTTTTAAGGAAGCCATCCAATAAAGTTATCCTTATTTACCTAAGTTAATGAGGTAATAACATCTTAGAACTTAGAAAAAGATCAGGATTTAAATACTGTCGCTTTGGAATCTGTATCCAGAGCTGCTTAGGTAATACATATTTTCAACTATATTTCCATTTCTTGCTTATATATACACAGTGTTCTTGTGTGTCTTTCTGTATGTGATACCCCCCTGTAAAGTGCCCAGTATTGCCATTTTTGACATTTATTAAAGTTTTGTTAGTAGTAATATCTGAATACTTACATTGTGTCAAAAACATAAAGCAAATTCACAACATAAAGGCTAGAATCTACATGGCAAACATTTTGTGAAGAACAGGGTGACTTGGTCCAGTGGAGCTTCAGAAGACTATGAATCACTTGAAATTTTATGTAACATTTTAACAGGAGCATTTTTGTTTAAAAAAAGATTCTTAATTTTCCTAGGATTTGGAATTTGACACAAAGAAGAATAAGAACCAGGGATCTAGCGGCAGAAAGAAACTGCATTGTAACTGTAATTTTGTTAAGATTACTATAGAAAAGTGCTATTATTTGTCATTACTAGGTAATACATTTTCATACACTATTTTAAGTAAATAACATTCCATTTAGTGTATTTTTAGGAAGTTAACAGGGTTTGTATAAGTGCACTGATAATGTTAGGATATAGAAATAGGGCAATAAAGAAAAACTTAAGATCCATAAATGAATAAATTTGAATGCAGAGAGGACAGGTAAATTGCTTGAGCATGTACCACTAGTTTAACAGCAAAAGTAGGCCTGAAGACAGACCTCACTTGTTGCTTGACTTTCTATCTGGTGTTCTTTCATTTTCAATAATTATAGTTTAGTGAAAAATGTCTTCTCATTTCAATAAATCATAGGGTGGAATGAATAAGAAATAAGTTTTTGTAGTTCTTAGAGTTACCATGAGGTGAATCAATTTCCTATGAAATAAGATGGCTCTAAGTTTCTACCTCATACAGCTAGAGTATGTTTGTTCATGAAATGCTGTGTCATTCTTAATTTTTTCAGTTAGTATATAATAGCAGATTATAATTACATTTGTCATAGTGATTGCATTTTCTTTGTAATTATATTTCTTTGAAATTTTATGGTATTTATAATTTAAATTCTCTCTGTCCATGAAATCAGAATGTAGTAAAACTTAACCTACAGAAAGTTTAGGTATTAAAATAAATTCTCAGCTGCTTTCATGTAGTTAAACATCATTTTATAAAACTTGTTTTTACAGAAAATTACTTCCACAGGGGAATTAAAAATGCAGTCTGGGCTCAGTGGCTCACTTTGGGAGGCTGAGGCAGGTAGATCACGATGTCAGGAATTCAAGACCAGCCTGGCCAAGGGGGTGAAACCCCATCTCTACTAAAAATACAAAAACTTAGCCAGGTGTTGTGGCAGGCACCTGTAATCCCAGCTACTCGGGAGGCTGAGGCAGAGTACTGCTTGAATCTGGGAGGCAGAGGTTGCAGTGGACCGAGATCGCGCACTGCCCTCCAGCCTGGGCGACAGAGTCAGACTCCATCTCAAAAAAAAAATAAAAAAAATTAAAAAAATGCAAAACAATGTCAGCACAAGGCCGCCATTTTATGTACGGTCATTTAAAAATCTATGAGATAATTTGGAGGGATGTCTTACTGTAGTTAGCAGTACAAAGGCAGTACTCATTTTTCTGTTTATTTCCTTTAAATGAGGATTTTGCGTGAAACTATTTCTTGAAACACTTTCAGGACCTTTTGTTGATGGAGTCTCTTCCCTTAGACACTTCTATTTCTTGTCCTTGCCCTCTTTGGCTTTAGGACCTCTTTTTGATTTGTGTCTAACTCCCAACTCCAGTTTTTATGGGGTTTTATTGGACTCTGAGTAAATTGTCTTTTACTTTTCTGTTTCTACCATCTCACATTTTCTATATTTGACTTGCATATATTTATAGATTCCATAGTTTTATATATTCAGATAATAGAAAACAAGTTAATCTAACTTTTATGTTTGATTGAGTAAATCCTTATTATATGAGTATATCTAATTTTAGAAGCTCCTAACCAAAGAGGAGGGCTATGGAAAATGAATGTGGATGATTTATGATTGTTCCTGCCCCGACCTCTATGTCATACTTGTGCACATGCGCACACAGACATATATCTGTACACGTAACACTATTTTGTCACCAGATTCAATTGATTCTTCTTTTTCCTTCCTTTATTCATTCCTTGCCTCTTAATTGATTTATTTACCTTTAGTTTCTTAAGCCAACACATTTGCATTAGAGTTAATTTAACAGCTAACATGAAAAACAGCCCTTTTGCATGGCATGTAAAGTTTGTTTCCTGCCATTGCCCCACAGATTTCATATCATCTGGTGCTCTACATGTAATACATAGCTTGTTTTAAGAGCAGACCATGTGATGTTATACATATAATAACATTTTATATGCTGTTCCTTCTACCTAGAGTGCCTTCTTTGTCCCCAACACATTTTTTATTCTTAAATTTAATTTTAGGGGTTAATTTTTTTAGAGGCAGGGTCTCACCCTGTCACCCAGGCTGGAGTACATTGGCATAATCATAGTTAACTGTAGCCTCAAACCCCTAGACTCAAGTGATCTCTTACCTCAGTCTCCTCAGTGGTTGGGACTAAGGGTCATGTCATGTCTGGATAATTTAAAAAATTTTTTTTTAGAGAAAGGGTCTCACTGTGTTGCCCAGGCTGATCTCCACCACGAGACCTCAAACACTCCTTCTGCTGCAGCCTCTTTAGTAGCTGGGATTTTAAGTGCAAGTTACTATGTCAGCTGTGGACACTTTTTTAAAGGAAGGTTTCAGGCCAAGTGCCATGGATCACACCTGTAATCCTAGGACTTTGGGAGGCCAAGTCAGGAGGACTACTTGAGACCACAGTTTTAGATCAGCCTGATCAGCATAGCAAGACCCCATCTCTACAAAAAAAATTGAAGAATTATCTGAGTGTAGTGGTATGCACCTTTAGTCCGGACAGCTACTTGGAATGCTGAGGAGAGAGGATCACTTGAGCCCAGGAATTTGAAGTTAAAGTGAGCTATGATTATGCCACTATACTTCAGCCTGGATGACATAGTGAGACCCTGTCTTTTAAAAATTTAAAAAAATTGGCAAGGCCCGGTGGCTCACACCTGTAATTCCAGGACTTTGGGAGGCTGAGGCAGGGGGATCACAAGGTCAGGAGATTGAGACCATCCTGGCCAACATGGTGAAACCCCATCTCTACTAAAAATACAAATATTAGCCAGGTGTGGTGGTGTGTGCCTGTAATCCCAGCAACTTGAGAGGCGGAGGCAGGAGAACCACTTGAACCCGGGAGGCAGAGATTGCAGTGAGCCAAGATCATGCCACTGCACTCCAGCCTGGTGACACAGTGAGACTGCGACTCAAAAAAAAAAAAAAAAATTAAAAAATTTGAAAAGATTCGGGTTTTTTTTTTTTCTCTGCAGATTTCCCAGTCATTGAGCATTTGATTTTACATACTTTTATTAAGTCTTTAAGGCAAGATTAAGCCAGAGGATCATACACAGATATTCATAAAGAAATACCTTGGTTCTGTTGGGAGAATGTTTTCTCGATGTCTCCTTATATGAAGTACTATTCTAGGCACTGACACTTTTTTCTTCTTGGAAGGTACTAAGACTCTACTTTACTACCAAAGCATTTTCTCATTTCTACTTATGTTTTTGGGTAAGTATTGAATGGCAAGAAAATGACCAATAGTAATTTTAATTTTTAATTATCAACAGGTAAAAGAACTTAAACATTCAAACAAACTAGAAATAACAGACATCAAACTGGAGGCAGCAAGAGCTAAGAGTGAGCTAGAAAAAGAAAAGAATAAGATTCAAAGTGACCTGGATGGTAATACATGATTTCCCATGCTGCTGCTGATTTTCAGATATGAACTCAAATTATTAATACAGTTGAAACTGAATTTTTATTTCCAGATTTTCACTTAATTCATTTTTAATCTTGGAGCACATATGAAATTTTTTTATTGTGTGTTGAGTGTTTTGTTCATTGTAATATATAACCTGTATAAAATCAATCTTATGTTTATGTCATAGGTATTGGATATATAAGTGAACATTGTAAATGGGATGCCATACTTCCTGATTTATAAATTTTAAATCTATTTATCGTGTAGTTAACAGTCCCTGGACATTTTAAGTCTAGAGAATGCAAGGAAGATAATTGGGTTCCAGGCTTAATTCTTTTCAGTTAAAATTTTTTTTGATGTAGACCCTAGGCCTTTTACTGTAGCCTAGTGCAGAGGTAGGCTTATTTTTAAGTTTCAGTTTAATCTTAGAACATCCATCTCATCAGGCTTCCTCTTTAGCTATGGTTGAGTTGGTCTGTAGTTGAACTCGTTTCAGGCAGTTTATGATGAATGCCTTTTATGTTTTGAAATGGAGTCTCACCATGTTGCCCAGGCTAGCCTTGAACTCCTGGGCTCAAATGATCCTCCTGCTTAAGCCTCCTCAGTAGCTGGAACTACAGGTGCTAACACCCTACCTGGCTGCTATGAATTATTTTTTCCAATTATTAATTTCTATTTGGTGACTCATGGATTTCCATAGAGTTAGGGAGTGAAATTTTTTTAGGAACTTAAAGAATGGTCCTCTTTGTTTTTACTTTTAATGTGAATTTGTTTTAGTTATTACATCTGCAAAGTACTTGCCATTTCATCACAAAGATTTCTGAATTCACTGTTCAAACTTGAAAGTATCCATGTTATTTATACTTCTGCTAGAAATCTTGCAATTCTAGAATAAATAGGTTTTGAACGGTTTTGTGGTTTAATTCTCTCTGCTATCGGCCAGCTTTGTTATGATGCTGTCTTAGACGCTTAGGTCACAGAACCCCTTTAGAGGTGAAGTAAGTAAACCTCTGGTTTTCATCCAGGTTGATCTCAACTCTCAATGTTCGAATGAGTAAATGTATATAACCTTTAATTAAAGTTTTTGTAGCTGGAACTACAAAACTAAATTCGTTTTTTTTTTGTATGCACTAAATTCGTGACCAGAAAATTAGCTCTAAGTTTTAGTCTGTTTCATTCTTATTTTAAGAGAGTTTATTTATGATGTGAGGATTGGTAAAAATATATTTTCATAGAGACTTCCTACATTGTTTTAGTTGTCTTACCAGCTTATGAACACTTGCTGTTAAATGTGATTTTTCATCTTAATAACATTGACTGTAGTAAGTTTTTCTCCTTAAAAAACACTAGGACTACAGTCAGACAATGAAATTCTCAAAGCAGCTGTTGAACACCACAAAGTACTTTTAGTAGAAAAGGATCGTGAATTAATACGTAAAGTACAAGCTGCCAAAGAAGAAGGTTATCAAAAACTTGTGGTATTGCAAGATGAAAAGTAAGTACTTAATTACCTTAGTTTGACTTAAATATCCTTGCAGCTGAAAACATTTTGCTGTCATATCATCTTTATTATAGTTTTTCTAACATGGTTGTGATCTGTTGTTTTAGGTTAGAACTTGAGAACAAATTAGCAGATTTGGAGAAAATGAAAGTGGAACATGATGTCTGGAGGCAATCTGAAAAAGATCAGTATGAAGAGAAATTGCGGGCTTCACAGATGGCAGAAGAGATCACCAGGAAGGAACTTCAGAGTATTAGGTTATATAGCATATACATTTAAAATTTTTCATGTTGAAATAATGTCAGAGTTAACAAAATGATGTACAAGTAGTTCAAAGAATTCCCATGTGCCCTTCACCCTGATCTCTCAAATACGAATATGTTATGTAACCATGTTATAGTAAGATTAAGAAATTAACATGAGGCTGGGCATGGTAGCTCATGTCTGTAATCCCAGCACTTTGGGAGATGAGGCAGGTAGGTAGGTCACGAGGTCAGGAGTTAAAGACCAGCCTGACCAACATGGTGAAACCCTGTCTCTACTAAAAATATAAAAAATTAGCTGGGCATGGTAGTGGGTGCCTGTAATCCCAGCTACTGGGTAGGCTGAGGCAGGAGAATTGCTTGAACCTGGGTGGTGGACATTTCAGTGAGCTGAGATCCGTTCCACTGCACACCAGCCTGGGCAACAGAGCGAGACTCTGTCTCAAAAAAACCAAAACAAAACAAAATGAAATTATCATGAATATAATCAGGAAATCAGATATTACTATTATAAAACCTATTAACTATATTCAGATTTTACCAGTTGTCACACTGATGTCCTTTTTTTGGCCTAAAACCCAATCCAGAATCACACATTGCGTTTAGTTACTTTTAATCTGGAACGTATGAATACTTGTCAGTATTTTGTATATCTTCTCTCAGTTTGGTTTTGTATTGCATTTTTCATGATTAAATTCAGTTTATGCGTTTTTAGCAAAACACTGAAGTCATGTGTCCTCAGTGCATCATATCAGGAGGTTCATGATTTGGCCCCTGAACTGGAGATTTTAACCTTGGTCACTTGGTTAAGTTAGTGTTTGCCAGATTTTTCCCCAATAAAATTACTACTTTTTTTCCCCTGTAAATTTACTCTGTAAATATTCTCATCAAATTTTCCCTTTATACATTCTTCCATTAATGTTAGCATCCATTGATAATTCTTACCTGGAACAATTATTACTCTAGCATTTGCCAAATGATGATCTATTTCTATTATCTTTCCTCATTTATTATTTGAAATACTCCTGAAAGGAAGAACTTTCCCTTTTCCTCTGAATGTTGTATTTATATCATTATGGATTTATACATTCTTATTTTTTCTATAGATTATAATATTTTGTTATTTTATTGCTCAACTTTTCTCAGATTTGGCTATTTGAAGATCTTTCCAAGTTGAATCCCATGTCCTTTTGACATAATCCCACCATTTATTGAGACATTTTTCTGTCATTACAGGATGTTCTATTCTGTGCTTCTCTTTCACTTTCACTGCCTTAACCCTGAAATTAATCATTTATCTGAGGTGCTTTGATTCCTTTTTAATTGGAGAATGGTATTTAGAAACCAAAATCTCAGCTCTAGATATGCTATTGGTACTAGAGAGTCAATTGCTTCTAGGTCCTCCCAGTGAACTGAGTGAGCTGAAAGGTACACATTTATATCTATTTCTTTATTTTTCTCTCTATATTAATTATCTTGAGTTTACATTGGTATTCCCAGTTCTCTTCCAGCACCATGGAGTTCATTCTGGCCTTCCTCTTTTCATACTTGCAATTCTTTTGACAGAAAACCAGCATTCGTTATTCATACGGTATTTGCTTATTTCCTCAGTCCTAGAATACAGAGTTGTTTTGGAATTGCTAACTTATTACTCAATGAAAAGCGAACCTATTAACTTATGTGTAATATTTGTGTATAGTTCTTTTTGTCTTTATCCTTAGAGTGTATAGTCAAAATACTGTTTTCCAAAGTTACTTAGGATTTTTCTCAAATTCTCCTTCAATGTGGTTTGTTATTCACTTATAAGCAGGTTTACTCTTTCTGTTCTATTCCATTTTGAGTCCATACCCCATCCTTGTTTGTTTTATTTATTAATATATTGAGCATTTGAAATATCTACATGGTTATAAAGGACAGACTATAATATAAAAAAAAAAAAAAATCTAAAAATGTGCCACTTCCCACATCTACTCTATCCTGTTCCCATTCCCTTATCTTTTCTCATCTGTTCTGCCCCTATGTGAGATTAAGCTCATTAGTTTCTGGGTTTTTTTTTTTTTTTTCCCCATCACAAATGTCAGATGTCATTGTATTTTTTCTTCTTTTTTTTGAGACGGAGTCTCACAGTGTCACCCAGCCTGGAGCGCAGTGGTGTGATCTCGGCTCACTGCAACCTTCTGCTCTCTACAACCTCCGCCCCTCCCCTTCACGTGATTCTCCTGCCTCAACCTCCAGAGTAGCTGAGACTACAGGCGCACACCACCATACTCGGCTTATTTTTTGTATTTTTAGTAGGGATGGGGTATCACTATGTTGGCCAGACTGGTGTCTAACTCCTGATCTCATGATCCGCCTGCCTTGGCCTCCCAAAGTGCTGGGATTACAGACGTGAGCCACTGGGCCCGGCTGGTATTTTTTCCTAATTTCTTATCAGTATACCTTGGAAACTGCTTCAGATTAGTTCATAGAGATTAACCTTATTATTTTTTATGGCTGCATAACATTCCAGTGTATGTATCTATTAGTGTTTAGTGAAACACTCTCTTATATTTAAGTATTTAGTTTCCAATATTTTGGGAATATCTTTTTTTTTTTTTTTTTTTTGAGACAGTCTCTGTCACCCAGACTAGAGGGCAGTGGGGCAGTCTTGGCTCACTGCAACCTCTGCCTCCAGGATTCAAGCAATTCTCTTGCCTCCCGAGTAGCTGGGATTACAGGCATGTGCCACCATGACCAACTGATTTTTGTATTTTTAGTAGAGATGGGGTTCACTGTGTTGGCCAAGCTGGTGTCGAACTCCTAGCCTTAGGTGATCTGCCCACCTTGGCCTCTCAAAGTACTGAGATTATAGGTGTTGAGCCACTGAGCCTGGCCTCCAGTATTTTGTGATTACAACTAGTGATGCAATCAGTAATGTTGTACATGTAAATATTTTCATTTTCTGGAGGGTGAATTCCTGAAATAAATAGGTGGGTCAAAAGATAAATTCATATGCAGTTTTGTTACATATTGTCAAATTTCCATCCAAGAGAATTGTACCACTTTGCATCTTAGTGTAGTTTAATTTGCATTTCTCATAAATGAGGTTGAACAATGTTTCATGTGTTTAAGGGTCATTTTAATATCTTTTTTTGGATGAATTGTTTGTTCTTGTCTTTCCCTACTGTACTTGGTTTCTTTGACTTTTCTTCCCTTGCTTAAAAAATTTATTAAATGACCTTGCTTTTTAAGAGTTCTTTATATATTAGGATTATGCTGCAGATATTTTCTCCCAGAGTGTGTCAGCAGTCTTCTAACTTTGCTTCTGTTATTTTTTTGCCATGCAAAAATTTTTATTATGTAATCAAATTTAATCTGCTATTGCCTCTGGGTATTAAGTCAGAGTTAGTAGTCTCTCCCTGAACTGAGGTTAAAGAGGAATTCACTTCTTTTTGCTTGTATGGTTTCATTTTTTACATTTAGTTCTCTGATCTGTTTGAAGTGTATTCCTTGTATGCTGTGAGGTATGGATTTGTTTTTTCTAAACGGCTAATTGATTGTCCCACGCTTTTATTAAAAACCTGTTTTTGCCCTAGTGATTCATGATAATACTTTTATGGTATTTTAAATTTCCATATATACTTTGTATATTTCTGGGCTTTCTGTTCTATTTCACTGATCTGGTTATCTGTTCATGTGCCATTTTACAATTTTTTTAAAAATAATTTTGCTTTAATTTTTATTTAGAGACAGGGTCTTTCTCTGTTGCCCAGGCTAGAATGTATGATCATGGCTCACTGTAACATTGAACTCCTGAACTCAGTCCTCCTGTCTCAGCCTCCCAAGTAGTTGGGACTTGAGGCGCCTGTACCATTATTACAGTATTTTAATTATGGAGCCATATAGTATGCTTTAATGTCCAGTTGTGGTGCTTGGTTCTTATAGTTTTTATGTTTCAGTATTTTCCTAGCTATTATTGTATGTTTGCTTTTTCATATCAACTTGAATATTAATGTCTAGCTCCATAAAAACATTTGTTGGTAATTTTATTGGGATTTCATTAATTTTTTTCTCGATTTTTAAAAATTGATAAAATATATATAAAAATAAAATTCACCATCTTAACTGTTTTTAAGTGCACAATTCAGTGGTATTGAATACAGTCATAATATGGAACCATCATTACCATCCATCTTCAGAGTTCTTTTCACCTTGTAAAACTGAAACTCTGTACTCATTAAATAGTAACTCCCCATCCTCCCAGCCCCTGACAATCACCATTTCACTTTCTGTCTTTTATGATTTTTGACTACTTTACGTACCTTTGTAAGTGGAATCAAACAGTATTGATTTTTTTTTTTTTTTGGGGTTATTTTACTCAGCATGGTGTCTTCTTCTTTTTTTTTTTTTTTTTTTGACTGGGTCATTTTACTTAGCATGATGTCATTACTTTTTTTGTTGTTTTAGAGTGAGCCTTGCTGTCACCAGGCTGGAGTGCAGTGGCGCCTTCTCGGCTCACTGCAACCTCTGCCTCCCAGGTAGTTGGGATTAAAGGTGCCACCACCACACCCAACTAATTTTTGTATTTTTAGTAGAGATACGGTTTCACCATGTTGGCCAGGCTGGTCTTGAACCCCTGACCTCAGGTGATCTGCCTGCCTTAGCCTCCCAAAGTGCTGGGATTACAGGTGTGAGCCACTGTGCCTGGACTAATGTTCATTATTTTCTAAGGCTAAGTAATATTTCACTGTATGTATATACTCTATTTATCCATTTGTTCACGGACACCTGGATTGCCTCCACATTTAGCTAGTAATAATGCTGTTATGAACATGTGTGTACAAACATCCCCACAGGGCCTTGGTTTCAGTTATTTTGGATTTATATCCAGAGGAATTACTGGATTATATCGTAATTCTGTTTTTAATTTTTTTAGGAACTGCCATTATGTTTTCTACAGTGGCTGCACCATTTTAAATTCCCACCAAAAATGTACAAGACTACTAATTTCTCCG